TTATTTATTTATTCCAGAAGAGTGACCTTTTCAAAGATGCACTTCTTTATGCAACAGATGAAGCAGTTCTAGAAGAAACCATAAGAAACTCCTCTGTTATTGACTGGAAGAAGCACCTTTGTCTTGGTAATAACCTGTTTCTTTTGATTGGATCGTAAAATGGAAGTAATCATTTCACAGGGCAGATTTGACCACGTGCATGTTTGTGATATTTTTACTACCTCTGATTTGCAATAGAGCTTTCTKTTTCAAATACTTGATGTATAAAGTACTTAAAAACAACCATAGCAATAATTCCTGTACATTTAAAATCAAAAGATGAAAATCACAAAGACTGAAAAAACCTAAAAACAAGAAAATCAATAAAAACAGTTAAATATGAATAAAACAAATCTCAGACTGTGCCAAAAGCCAGAGAATAGAAATGTTTTTTAAAGTTGACCGTGAATGAGCTTGTCTGACAGGAAGTGGGATTGTTCCATAACCTTAAAGCAAATGTCTTCAATTTGAATTTTATTGTTTATTGTGTTCAAAGTCCTCATGGTTTTATTCAGTGGTTAGTAAGATAAAACCTGTCCAAGCTTCACGCCACAAAAAGCTATAAGTACCTTTAAGTAGTATTATGACCAAGAAATAATTTAAAAAATGACAATAAATACAAGGAAGTKGATATTTTTTGACATTTACTTTGAAATGTTTCACTTTTATTACAACCCAAGTACTGAAAAAGTGGAGATGTTGCATAAAATGTAAATGAAATCAGAAGCAACGATGTTCAAATCTCATATTTTATCAGTGCTGTATAAAGTACCTCAAAGTGGTACTTGAGTAAAAGTACATGTATCTTATCATGAAATTACTTTGGTACAAGTTAAAGTGTCCTCCAAGAATATTACTTGAGTAAAAGTCTGAGTACTTAAGTATCAAAAGTAAATTCCTGACACAAAATCTACTGTATTAAAAGTATTAAGTAAAAATGACCAGTTAGGTTTTCCAAAATGACATTGGGAGGTGAACTTTCAAAAAAAAAAATTTATATAATATACAGTATATATATACTCTTGTTTTTCTCTCTTTTCTCTGAGCTCTTTCACAGAAAGAAGTTAGATTACTGCGACGTGAGTATAATGTATATATATATATATATATTTTTTTTTTTTCTACAGGCACGCAGCTGTGATGGATTGTGTACAATTTGGTGTCAGAATGTTATATATTTATACTTCTCATCCAACTACAATTAAGTTCATTTTTTCCAGGAGGCACAATGTATCAGGATGTTTTTTTAACAATGAGACAAAATAAAATAGGAGTAACGACTTTCTACTTCTTACCTTGTTTAAAAAAGTAAGAAGTAGRAAGTGCAGATAACAGTGTGAAAATGTAGAAGTAAAAAGTAGGCTGAAAAATAATTACTCAAGTACAGATAACCAAAATTTCTACTTAAGTACAGTAACAAAGTACTTGTACTTAGTTACTTTACAACTCTGTATTTATTCATGTTTTCAAGGAACCAGTCTGTCCCAYATGGAGATAATCAGAGCAGTTGCGTCAGAAAAGAATGTGCTTTTCGACCAACTGGCCGTTTGTCACAAGATGCTGCTGCAGGATGTAGCCAAGCTTCCCTGCATAGACAGGTAAATGGAATAACATAATATTATGGGCAAATTAGAAATAACATTTCATTAAAACGGTGAAACGTCTGCTTTGCATCAGCTCGGGGCTGTCGCTGAGCTCCCTGGWTGAATCGCACCTCGGTTTGGTCAACCACATGTGGAAGTTTGGGAAAAACCAGGGGGCTGCGGCGATGATCCGTAACATGATTGTGAACTTTCCCTCCTGCTGCGTGCTGGACGCTGACGGAAAGCCGGTGTCCTGGATTCTGACGTACRCGTCGTGCGCCATGGGAATGTTGTACACTCTGCCCGAGCACAGAGGGAAAGGCTACGCCAAGGTCCTGATCAGCAGCATGGCCAAGAGACTCCACGCTCAGGGCTACCCGGTGTTCTGTTTCATAGAGGAGGAGAACCGGACCTCCTACCAGCTCTTTACAAGCATGGGCTTTACTGAAGACCCCTCATACAGAGAAACCTGGTTTGTCCTCAATAATAAACACTTTGACTGTTAAGTTTCCTAAAATGATTACAGTCAAAAAGTGATTCTATTAAAAAACATGGAAGTTGAAGAAAGTTGGAAATCACATGCCTTGAGTTAAAACAACTGATACAGACCATGATGCGGAAGCAGGTTTTTTTTACACATCTTGTAATTTTTCATTAGAACGTGACGATGTGCTTGATCTGAAATGAAAAAAAAAAAAAGCATATATCTTAGTGTAAGTGATAAACTGATGGGTGACAAATAAAATAAAAGATTTGTAAAAAAGAAATGTTTACTTGAGACTTGGCATTTAAAACTATGTCTTTTCTAAAAGTAAGGGTATTTTTTGCCTAAATTGCAAAAAAAAAAAAACCTTCATAGTGCATCAAGCACAAAAACCTCTGAGTTGAAGTCTAGACCAGAGTTTCTCAATCTGGGGTCCTTAAAAATCTTTATTAAAATGTTAATTTGGTTTTTATTTAAAAAATATTAAAAATGCATGGAGAACAATGAACTAATAAAACAAACATTATAAACTTAATAAAAATATATATTCCCATGGCATTTAGGGGTTGAAATGACAATAAATAATCTTTTAAAACAGCATGGGGTTTATGAGGGGGTCCCTGGATGTTTCTTTTGCCCTTGTAAGGGGTCCCCAGACCCAAATGGCTTGAGAACCCCTGGTCTAGACATCTCACTAAAATCAACACAGTAGAGGAGGTAATATCTTTTGAAAGAATACAGTTGTTCAGTTGTGTTCAGAAAAAACTCAATTGAATCGTTTATAAAATGCAATACGGGGTGAAAAAATAGACCATTTCATAGAAATGATCACAAATGACCACGTTTAGAGAAGGTTTATCGGGAAAAAGCTGAGGCCGTTATGGAAATGCTGTTGTTTCTGCACGAATTCAACACATAAGTTTACGCRGTTATTCAGACCCAATGTACTTGTTCTAAACTGATTTGTGTTAAAACTTTCCTTTAGGATCACAGATGTGATTTTTCATAAATATTCAAACGTGCTTTTTGAACTTATTGAGTTTGCATATTTCCGACAGCATTTTCATTTAACCTCAGCTTTTATCCAGTTGACTTGTGACCTGGAAAAGCTCGGCTTCGCTATGCGCATTTCTAACTACAAAATGGTCTATTAGGGATGTTGACGTATTTTCTTCCCAGACCGCTGTGACCAAATTGCGCAACTCTGCACTGAGGGTGACCTCTGTTTTATTATTTCAACAGATTCTCAGAACCCCTGGTGATGTCCAATTCAACATGGATAAATCACCCAAATTTTCCAGTGACCTCTTAAATGGGCAAGCTTATGTGAAAAATATTATTTCAACTGCCTTTGTTCCAAGTTTTATCATAATCTTTAACGCTGAAGTCTGTTTTTCTGTCTACGATGAAAATGATTTAGCGTACGTGTTGACGTTTGTATTTGTCTCGACACATTTTACACGCTCTCATTGGTTGATGGGCTTTGTTTACAAAACAAATGTCCACATGGTTTTTAAATGGTATTCAGTTCACAAATTTCCAAGATCCTTYAAGTTGATTTGATGTTGTAGTTTGGTGGCATGAGTCTTTATCGTGATTTTTGTGAAACTTTATTTATATAGTACCTTTCAAGAACGGGAATCACAACAAATAACAACTACACAAAGCAGATTAAAAAAACAGATTAAAAAGAAAAGTTTTTAGCTGGCCTTTAAAAGWRGACAGCCTGMTGATCTTAAATTCAGAGGAASAGCGTTCCAAAGTCTTGGAGCCACAGAACAAAAAGCTCTGCCTCCTCTAGTCTTTAGTTTTTTACGGGGAACAAACAGCATGTTTTTTAATCACAAGACCTCAAAGCCCTGACGGGAGTGTAGGRCTGTAAGTTCAGAGATGTAGTGCGGTGTTTGACCACGCAGAGCTCACCAAGTCAAAACCCCAAATCTTAAAAACCTCAAAATATACCTTAAAATATTTATAACTTTTCTGCAGAAGGTGGATCATTTCTGAAAATTTCATGGTGATAACTTGAACATTAAAGTAGTTATGAAAAAAAAGGCAAAATGGTCACAAAGGCCCGATTAGTTCAGCTATGAATTACCTGAACGAAAACATTCATCAGTTCCTTAATAGTTGAGATAATCACATGATTTTGGTGTTAAAGGGTTTCAATGTTCTATTTGAATTCACTGCTGTGGGACAAACATTGTATCCACCTCCCTGCACTACTTACTTTGCTGTGTGGTTTTATTGTGTTTTTGAATTGAGTTTTTAATTTCATGTGTTCAGCACTTTGTTTCAGCTGTGGCTGATGTCATAGCGCTTTATAAATAAAGTTTGATGATGATMCTGTTTCTCCATACTGTCCTGATGCATCTCAGTAATCCAGGTAGAAAAAATCTAAAAGAAAAAACAAGTAGGTCCTCTGGATGGGCTCTTCTTTAGTGAAACGTTTCGTCTCTCCTCCAAGAGACTTCTTCAGTCTGATGAGTTTCAGGTGAAACTCAGCCTTATAATCACTGCCTCCACATGGACAAACAGGTTAGTCACATGCAAAAGAGGGCCATCGCCTAACAATAGGCTTGATTAGCTCTATTGTTCATAGAGGGTCRTGTGCCCCATCACCTGACCTGTGTGGTGTTATGTTTATGTAGTGAGTTCACCTGAAACTCATCAGACTGAAGAAGTCTCTTGGAGAGACGAAACGTTTCACTAAAGAAGAACCCGTCCAGAGGACCTACTTATTTTTTTCTKTTTGACTTCTCCATACTGTTTTCTTTTTTCATGTTTCTGGGAAATACTAAAACTCAATTWTGTAYTTTTCAGAACTGCGTATAAACCCTGTTTTCTGTCTGCTTCACCTTTGTTCCCCATATTCTTCAAGGCGCAACAACCACGTCTTCCAGTACTCCGACATCATGTCTGAGCTGAGCTTGTGAGCGTGGGCCGGGGAGCCGTCCTTGTAGGCCACAACAATGAGCCCGTTTTCAACCTACAACAAGAACATATTTGTTAGACGTGGTAACTAATGCGTGGGGCRCGGCGCTGCAGACGGATTTTAACTGCAAACCTAGAAGCTGGATCACCTGGTATTTGTAGTTGCCGTCGTCGTTCAAAGCCCCGGCATACGCTGCCACTTGAACGGGGTTGTCGTACGTGTTGCTCAGGAACGGTTTGGGTTTTTCTGAGGTTTTCCAGTCGATAATGCACAGCACACCCCTGAAAACAGAAGTGATCGGTGTCATAAAGGCAGAGGGAAAAGTGAAGTCATGTCAGGCAGAGGAAAGTTTTACTTGTAACGAGCAACACAGTCCACGACTCCCAGGTAGTTCAGGGTGCGGTGCTGCACYGTGCTTTCTGTAGCCCTCACTGCGCTGACATCCTCCAGGATGTGAGAGACACTCTGGATGTATCCTCGGACTTCAGGTGSATATTCTGGTGTCTCTGAGGGGTCTCTGTGCTTCCAGGTTGCACCAGATCTGAAAATATCCTCCAGAGCTGAGTGGAAAAGCTTTCCTTGTCTAAATAGATCTGTTTAGAAAACAACAACTCAGTTTAAGCTCAATTTAAATTTGCATACTGTGTTGGTGAGGTGTTTTATGCTTTGAAAACTCACTCTGACTGTATTCTTTGAAGCCTTCCTCTCCAAACTCAGCGATCATCTTCCTCTTCCATCGCTCCAGGTAGAAGATCTGCTCTGGAGAAAGGGTCTGCTGAAGGATCCGGGTCACGCTGGGCACAGAAGACCTGCCTTGTCCTCGTGTTAATGAAATCTGAACAGGGGGTCCTGACTCTGGCTCGTCTGTTTCAAAAGCTTTCTGGTAATTTACAAAAGGATGGAGAACCTTTGGTCCTTTTTCCTTCTCAGTTCTCGGTAGAGGAGCTTTGACAACTGGTCCATAAATCTGGTCGTCTTCTGCCTGGAGGGTCTCGGGGGTTTGAGAGCTGACCCTGGTGGAGGACATCACGGATTTTACAAGCGAAGTGTAGCGGTCACTGTCCACAGAACTGTACGGACTCCTTCTTTTGGGTCTGSTTAGATAACGCGAAGCAGAAAAGTGGCATACAGTGAGGGAGGAGGTGCTTTGAGGGACAATAATAGTCCCGACACACAAAACACGGTTCAAACTGAACATTCTGGTGAATCTAGCACAATCAAGTTACACAACTGAGCTGTTAACTTCCTAAAAACAAAAAAAAATCTGGTAATTTCGCTTTTAAAAGCTAATTTTGTCTTTGTTAAACGATGGTATATGCCCCAACATGTTCCGACAAAACTCTTCCGCTCAAACCTRTTTGTTTCTAAACGACGCGGTATTTTGGTGGCACAAATCTCCGTAASTGGGAATTGTAGTTTTCCGTGAAGCTTTAATGGCTGCGTTTGTCTCAGTATAAACTACATTACCCACAAGTCACAGCGTCGCATTGAAACATCCCTGTTGTAATTGTCAAACACTAACCTAACTTGTACCGTACTTATTGTCTTGCCACTTTAATTTAATTTTATTGTCGTTGTGTCTCGTTTTTTATTTTTTAAAAATCACAACATTTAAAAAGTTTTCAAATAGCACGCGCACGCTCGGCGACGGGATTTGATTGATCAGACACCCGCCCAATCACGATGTTCAAAAAATCAACCTTAACCAATAATATGTRGGTAAGGCGGGATTTAAATATTCCGTCATCGGGATTGGGGCGGAAAACACTTTTGACAGTTTCTCAGGAAGCTAACTACTAGCCACCGAAAAGACAGCTTCCTGCAAATAGTTTTGTGTAGTTTGGCCTCTTCTTTTGCCATTTTCGCAGATTTCGATCCGATTATGACATCCCTAGACGAAAGTAGTAAGGAAAAGGTARGATAATCGCGTTTTACTGTGGGAAATGCATGTAAAATCTGCGTTTGTAGCGTCAAGATATATAGGTAGCTAACATTAAATAGTTGTTTTCTGCGTAAGTTATGGACTGGTTCTTGTTAGCCTCTAGCTAAAGCTAACTGTCATTAAAAGCTTCATAAATTTAGCAATGTGTCAAAGATGTTGGTATGTTCAAAGTTTTGTTCGCTCCTGTTTTTGTTTTTTGCTTTTTACTTAGTGAAAAAAATTTTAAACGGTAAAGTTTTGCAGATATTTACATATGCGTTAAAATAAAAATAAAAAACTTTTCCCTACATTTAACTCTGTTATACTGYTGTTTTTGAAATGATGTATTCAATTGTCAGTACTAAACAGAGAATTTTAGCATTACAACTCTGAAACCTTTTCCAGGATGCACCTTGTGTTGTAGGGAACCATCAGCTTTTATTCTTAATTTGTATTTTTTTTTAATGAAGCATTCAGTGAAGGAAAACAACAATGCCACACCTTAAAATATTAGTATATCGATTTTAAAAAAAATGTATTTAAGAACAGCCCTTAAAAGGTGTGGGCCTAGCTTTTTATAGGTGGAGTACTTTCAGTGCTCCACTTTTATGCATATTTTAGCTCTGAAGCATTATGTAGTGATTAGAAAGATTGTTTTACTAATGAACTGTACTACTTGCGATAGGACCCAGTTTCCAAAGTTATGCAACATTATAGTAGTAAACCAAACAGTCCTCCAAACAACTTGTGCATTAAGTTGGGAGAGATGTCAAAAATTGAGAATTAATTGAATTTATTTGCAGAAACTGACACATTAGATGTGCCTGAAGTGGTGTTTTAGTGACTTGCCTTCATGAAAAGAAGWATCAGTTCAGCAAAATAACAATAAAACAAAAAGTTAAATCAAATTAGTAACTTAGTTTGTTTAATGGTATAACCAGGGATCCTGATAGAACTATAAAACTGTTGGAAAATATTTGAAATCAACTTGAAAGTCTACATAATTGCAAACATTAGTCATAAGGGGCAGTTTTTGTGTTCGAATAGGCACTTGAATCTTTTTGGGTAAGAAGTTATATTGTTTCTCCTTAGYTGCGCTCCGTGTCTGTGGACTTAAACAACGATGCCTCTCTTCTTATTGACATTCCTGATGCACTCTGTGAAAGGGACAAGGTCAAGTTCACAGTCCATACGAAGGTAAAAAATAAAAGTAAATGTTTGTACCCGATCGTACTCCAACTCAGCTTAAACTTTGACCTCTTTTTAAGCATATTTGTTCTTATATTGTTAATAACTTTTACACAGTATTGTTGCTTTTTTCACAGACTACTCTTAGCTCCTTCCAGAAGCCGGAGTTCTCTGTTCCCAGGCAGCATGAAGACTTCATCTGGCTCCACGACACGCTGGTTGAGACTGAGGACTACGCTGGTTTAATAGTAAGTTGGGCTATTAAATGACATACTTAATCAAAAGAAAAATAACATATATATCTTGATTTATTATTTCTAGATCCCCCCAGCACCCCCAAAGCCTGATTTTGAGAGCCCGAGAGAGAAGATGCACAAACTGGGTGAAGGTGAAGCCACTATGACGAAGGAGGAGTACACCAAAATGAAGCAGGAGCTGGAGGCGTGAGTGTAAAACTCTAAAACATGTTAAACTGCATTGCAACATTTTTATATGTGGCTAGATTCCTCAACAAAATTATTGTTATTTTTTTCTTTTTTTAGTGAGTACCTGGCTGTGTTCAAGAAAACTGTCCAAGTACATGAAGTCTTCTTGCAGAGATTGTCCTCCCACCCTGTTTTAAGCAAAGACAGAAACTTCCAGATTTTCTTAGAGTATGACCAGGATGTGAGTAATGCTGACTTCCTTTCCGGAGTTGTCGGTTGGAAAGAGCGGAAAAAGAGTTAACTAGAATCTTGTGACACATGGCATTCAATCTGCTGTGATCAGCAGTAAAACTTATCCTTCTCAGTCACTGATAGTGCTGTTTGCTAACAGAACTGAGCTATTTTATTGTATATAGTATGTTAGCAGTCTGATAATTAAAATAAGATGTGAAACATTGTGCCATACGATGTTCAAAGCAGACACAAGCTATATTTCTGTTTTATTTGGTTTTACTATATTTTTTAAATTAAAATATAAAATCCTAATTGATTTCTCAAATGTGTCCTTTCAGCTCAGTGTGAGGAGAAAGAACGCAAAGGAAATGTTCGGGGGGTTCTTTAAAAACATGGTGAAGTCAGCTGATGAGGTCCTCATCTCAGGAGTAAAGGTGAGGTTTCTGCACGGCCTCAGTATTTCTGTAAATGTCAGGTAAGTCACTTCCTCATGCTTTTGTATTTTTGTTGTTGTTTCCCAAACAGGAAGTGGATGACTTTTTTGAGCAAGAGAAGACATTTTTGCTCGACTACTACAGCAAGATAAAAGATTCCACTGCCAAAGCAGAGAAGATGACACGTTCACACAAAAGTACGGGAGGGGGTTTCACTGTATGAGATTAGACCCCTTTATTTAGAATGTTATTAATTCTAATTTTTACATGTTTTCTGTTGCAGATATCGCAGACGATTACATTCACATTTCTGCCACTTTAAACAGCATTTGTGCTGAAGACAGTACACCAAATAAGAAGTGAGTTTGATACATAAGTCTCGTTTCAGTGCATAAGATTTTCTCCAGGTTGAAGATTATCAAGCTTATTATATTTAGTGTAATATTTAACAAGTAAATCTTTAATTCTGGCTTTTATTTGTTTATTTCTTCTTCAGAAACCTGGAGAAGCTGTCAGACCTGTTTGAGAGACTCAGAGTTAGTATAACCTAATCAACACTCAGTTATATAAGTGAGACTGATAGAAGAAAGAAGCCACATTTTAATTTTTTTATTTTTATTTTTATTTTTATGTGCGTGCAGAAAGTGGAGGGAAGAGTTGCGTCTGACCAGGAGCTGAAACTCACAGAGCTGCTAAGATATTACATGAGGGACATTCAGGCTGCTAAGGTAAGACTTGTTTCTTTCGCCTTTAATGGAAACTGATGTGCTGATCACACAACAACAAACACACACTCCTTCCACAAGTACCCAATTGTCATATTTCAAGAGTGTTGTAATCAAAAAGTGTCTCCTGGTGGTTAAATACTTTGAAGATTAATGGAGCTACATATTGATTTTAGGCTCTTTTCCAACCACAAGGAGTGGATGAGTGTGTTCATTTGTCAAATACAGCGGGTAAAATAAGTATTGAACACGTCACCATTTTTCTCAGTAAATATATTACTAGAGGTGYTAATGACATGAAATTTTCACCAGATGTYGGTAACAACCCAAGTGATCCATACATACAAAGAAATCAAACCATAAATGTCCAGAAATGAAGTTATTTGTAATAATGTGGAATGGCACAGGGGAAAAGTATTGAACACACTTACTGAAATTTATCTAATACTTTGTACAAAATACTTTGTTGGCAATGACAGCTTCAAGACGCCTCCTGTTTGGAGAAACTAGTGGCATGCATTGCTCAGGTGTGATTTTGGCCCATTCTTCCACACAAACAGTCTTCAAATCTTGAAGGTTTCGTGGACCTCTTCTATGAACTCTGATCTTTAGTTCTTTCCATAGATTTTCTGTTGGATTCAGGTCAGGTGATTGGCTGGGCCATTCCAGCAGCTTTAGTTTCTTTCTCTGAAACCAACTGAGAGTTTCCTTGACTTTGTGTTTGGGCTCATTGTCTTGCTGAAATGTCCAGCCACGTTTCACCTTCATCATCCTGGTAGATGGAAGCAGATTTTTATCAAGAATGTCTCTGTACATTTTTCCACTCATCCTTCCTTCAATTATTTGAAGTTTGCCAGTACCATATGCTGAAAAACAGCCCCACACCATGATGTTCCCACCTCCAAACTTCACTGTTGGTATGGTGTTTTTGGGCTGATGTKCAGTGCCATTTGACCTCCAAACATGATGTGTATTCTGGCATCCAAACARTTCAATGTTGGTCTCATCTGACCAGACTATATTCTCCCAGTATTACACAGGCTTGTTTAAATGTTGTGCAGCAAACTTTAAAGGAGCTTCAACATGCTGTTTCTTCAGCAGTGGAGTCTTGCGTGGTGAGCGTGCWTACAGGCCATGGTGGTTCAGTGCATTACTTATTGTTTTCTTTGAAACAAACGTACCTGCTAATTCCAGGTCTTTCTGAAGCTCTCCACAAGTGGTCCTTGGCTCTTGGACAACTCTTCTGATAATTCTTTTCACTCCTCTGTCAGAAATCTTGTGAGGAGCACCTGGTCGTGGTCGGTTTATGGTGAAATAATGTTCTTTCCACTTCTGAATTATGGCCCCAACAGTGCTCACTGGAACCTTCAGAAGTTTAGACATTCTTCTGTAACCGATGCCATCATTATGCTTTGCAACAATAAGGTTGTGAAGGTCTTGAGAGAGCTCTTTTCTTTTACCCATCATCAGATGGTTCTTGTGTGATACCTGGCCATCATTTGGGACTGAACCAGCTGATATTAACTTGCACTGACAAGGGGCAGGCTTGCTTTCTAATTACTGAGAGAGTTCAGCTGGTGTCTTGGCTTTCCATGCCTTTTTACACCTCCCTTTCTTCATCTGTTCAATACTTTTTCCCTGTGCCATTCCACATTGTTACAAATAACTTCATTTCTGGACATTTATGGTTTGATTTCTTTGTATGTATGGATCACTTGGGTTGTTACCAACATCTGGTGAAAATTTCATGTCWTTAGCACCTCTAGTAATATATTTACTGAGAAAAATGTTGACGTGTTCAATACTTATTTTACCYRCTTTAAATACCTGGTATTCATATTAATACAGAACTACCTGGTATTCATATTAATACAGAACTAATCTCCACAGGAATAATTTTCTCACATACTTTAGATGGTAAAGTTTTATTTGGTGTTGAGCTGCTTTTGTTTTTAATCTTAAAAAAACTGTTAAATGTCTCTTAGGACCTTCTGTACCGGCGAGCCCGGGCGTTAGCGGACTACGAGAACTCCAACAAGGCCTTGGACAAGGCTCGACTAAAGAGCAAAGACATCCCCCAGGCAGAGGAAGTGCAGCGGCAGTGCCTGCAGAAATTCGACAGGCTCTCAGAATCTGGAAAGAAAGGTCGGCGCATTCTCGCGAAAGAAATGAAAAGTCTGGTTTGAGCTGCTTTCTGTGGTTAAAAATGCTGTGTTGCACAATTCATCCAGAACTCACCAGCTTCAAGGGCAGACGAGTCATGGCCTTCAGGAAGAACCTCATAGAAATGGCTGAGCTGGAGATAAAACACGCCAAGGTGAGCTTCTTCGTGATTCAGTGCTTCATCTTCACTTTTAAATCAAGTGTTTAAATAACATCTTCAAGCTTTTTACAGATAAGATATTTCTGTGTTTTGTTTWTGATAGCTTAATCTGTTTTAAATCTGCAACCATGAAATATGTAAAGTTTTTGTAAACGGGTAGATAAAACTGCACAGGATGAAAGATTATTTATTAAAGTTCAGCATTATTCTGCCACACCCTGAGTCACGCAACATTACTAGTGATCAAACTCATTCTGTACACTACTTTAATRATAATTGTGCCGATTTCCAAAACAGCAGGCAGCAAAACTGATAAATACTAATGTTCCAGTAGATCATTAATAATGTAGACACCTCCAGAAAAAACGCTTTATTAGTTAMTGTCCTAAAACTCCAGTTTCCTCTTTCTGAGTGACTGCAAAGTCAGACATCCTCTAATTGTTTCAAAGCAGTTTTAAAATGATAAAAAGGCTTAACTTTTTTATTTTTAATGGTAAACAATCCTGCAATAAAAGCACACATATGCTCAGATTTGTCTAAACGGAAAAGAAATGATGTCTTTTAATGGGAATAAACTAATTAGGAAGAATAAGTGTGGGTGTGTTCACAGCTGACACATTTGGTCCACTTTAAATGGGCCAGAGTCTGTTCCCCTTGTTGGTCCGGACCTTTTATTCAGGTGTGAATACACTCATGTGAACCCTGGTGTGGATCAAACAACCGGACTGAGACCCGTTTTTAAGGTGGTCCACTTCCAAACAAACTCTGGTACCGTTCACTTCTGGTGTGAATACAGACCGGCCTCGAACTGAACCAACTACAGGAAACAGGCCTTTTGGCAACATTAGCCCTTCAGTGTTGCTAACGCTAACACTGCACAACAAAAAATGAGCCGTTGTGGGTCAGAGATCGCGGAGCATCTTGTCTCCTTCAGGTTGCGGCACACATTTGACAACGCCGACCCAAAACTATGAGTATATCATCATAAAACCTCCACTGAATGAGCCGCTCTTTATAGTCAGTTGTATTAACAGAACCATCTTTATGTCTTGGTCTGTGCTCTGTCCYGCCTCCTGTCATTTCTGTCCAATGGGATCAATGACCGTCACCTGCATGGCTTTGTTTATAAATTATAGTCCACTTGCAAAAAGCACAATGTGAATGCAAACAGCACCAAAGGAAAAAAATTAAGTCCGCTATTTGGTCCAGACCGAACAAGTGGACCAAAGGACTTTCCTGGTGTGAATGCACCCTATCATACTCATGAGTTTTTTGTTTCCACAGAACAACGTGGCTTTATTGCAAGGATGCATCGACCTGCTGAAGAGCAACTGACCTGTTTCCACACGTCTGATCATCACTAAGTGACCGAATGTGACAAACAGAAACCCGGCCCTCCCAGGACCCAGGATCTGCAGACACCATGCACCGTGTCCGCTCCCACCCGGGACTCTTTTTCTTTTTTCCCAAACCCTACAAGATACTTTCTTTTGTAAGCACAATGTCTTTATGTTTACAGAGTCTTTGTTCTTCACCTCGGGGTCCATCCTTCATTACCATGGAGCTCCAGCTCAGTGCTGAATGTCCCCAGAGATGGAGGTCGTGAACTTTACGGTTTTTCATGATGATGCAGCACCTGTAGATGTGATGTTTTCCGGTTTACATTTTTACACACTTTGTGCTTTTCCTTGCCTTTTCTTTGATCACGTCTCTGACTCCGCTCAGACTCTTAACTTCCCTCTAGATAACTTTGTACAAGTTTTGTTTTGTCTTTCCTCATTGTGCTTAATGTGTGTGTTTGTTTTTTGTGAACTAATGGAGCTTGTATGTGAGAGAAATGAGTGCCTGGAAAAAAAAAGATTCCTGTGCTCTGCATCCTGGATTTTGAGAGTTTTGTAGATCCATACCGGGTCTGTCGTAAACCGACTCATGACTGATCGTTGTTGCTTGCTCAGAAATATTTGCACACCTTAATAAATTTGTTTCCTTATTCTTGTTTTGTTAAAGATCCCATCGTTGTCGAGGATGAGTAAAAGAAAATTATTTGTAGCCAGAACAAGTTTGGATTCAGTCCAAGAATTTAATTCACGTTTATTTCTTTACTTTTGATTCGACAGCTTATTTTGTCTTTTTATTTAGTGACTGATCTATTTACCACATCTCTAAAGAGTTTATTTTGTTTAAAAAAATGCACTAAAGTACATTAAAAGACTCTACAGTCATGACCAATCTCAGTGGAGTGTTATTATGCATTAAAGTTTTTTTTTTCTTAAACTGAATGTATTTCTTAAATATCACAATTGTTCCAATTCTTTTTTTTTCATGTTTTTCCTACAGAACATTAGCATTTTGTAAATTTGTAATAACGTTGAGAAATAAACTCTACATTCCGGAGTTGAATTTGTTTGACATCCTGTATTTCTCCATCCAACTGTCCATTATCTTTTGCTTATTCTAAAATTAAAAATGTGATTTTCTAACTGGCAGCAGTATTTCAGAACAACTGAAGACTTTAAAAATATCGCAACAGTCCAATCCTTCGAACTCACCTATTTGGTGTTTACTGTTTATGATGCAAGTAAAAGAAAGCAAAGCAGGCTTTTATGCCTCTAAGATGCACAACCAGTGGCCTGCGGACCGTATGTGGCCTGCAGGTGACTTCTGCCTGGCCCATCAATTAATCTAGAATCTAAAACTTACTTTGAAAAAATTATTTTTATCTTGCGAGGTAAGGCAAACCTGTGTATTTAGTCTGCCAGGAAGGATTTTAATATAAGTCTACCATACCAACTTTATAGTACTTAACCATAGGACCAAAGTGCTGTACAGTCACAGTACATAATAAAAGCCAAATCCAAAAATTAAAATTATTTAATAAAACAAACATGAAACCAAATAAAACAAACTAAAAGTCAACATCTCAGATGGCCAAAGAGAAGAGACGGGTTTTAAGTAGCGTTCAAAAGCTGACAGGGATGTGTAAGTCTCCACTACAGTGTTGCACAAAGCTAAATATGAGAAGTTTACTGAAGTTACAAGTACGTAAAAAAAACACATTTTTACCAGCACCACGCAGGAGACTGCACTTGATGTCTTATGTCGTTGCACTTCATCTCGCTAAATTAAATGTTGATTTGTTTTGTCTGCTTCAAATGTTTTGTATTCACATTTAGAGTAGAACTATTATACATGAATTTGAACATGAAATATATTGAGTTACTGCACTGTATGTTGGTTTAATAAATATTTACACAAACATTTTTAAAAGGGCAGCTTTATCACATATGAGTAAGAACACAGCACTATGTGGCCCTCTAGTACTGTAAACAAAAAAGTGTTTCTCTTTCCATCATTTATGCTGCCCAACATCCCTACTCATATTAACCTAAGTCAAGTCTGAGTTTTAAAATCAACACATCRTGCCACCAGGTGTCAGTATCCAACTGTCCAGGGTTTCTTAGTTTTACCATGTTGGCCCTTTTAAGCACAGCTGTGTGCATGCTTGTGTTAAATCCATTGACCACTGTGAATCCTGGAATGGGACAGTGTGGTGTATTAGGTAAACACCGAGGAAATGCCAAGGATCTCATGGGAATCCTCACCAAACTGTACACACAGCATGAACAGCTACTGCCCCTGAGAAATACTGCAATAAACTTTAGCTTCTTATTGTACTGGCATAGCTTTATTTATGAAAATATACAGTAATTAAAAATAGCAATTTGAGGAAATATTTAATATTTTTCATAGTAAATTTATGATCCCACTAGCCCCAAATATGGTAAAAGGAAGTGGAGACAGTTGTGACAGTCGTGCACAGAGTGTGTGACAGATATATCAATAGTGATGACCCCAGTCGTGCAGTCACAGTGACCTACAGGGTTTCGTCTCTTCGCTGATTGGATGAAACCACAGACTGCGGCCAATCAGCTCATGACAAATTATCAGCGCAAACAGATTAGTTTGCCAGCTGCGGTCCGAGCAAACAGCATTAAACAGCACAACTTCAAAGAGCTACTTCAGCGCTGAATCCAAAGAGCAAGGCCTGTTTTTGGACCATAGAGACCCAGAAATCGGAGCTTTCTGTCTTAATATGACGAGTGAATGAGATTTCAATACAGCATGAGTGTAGCCTACAAAACAAAAAAATATCAGTTCTGACTTTATTATTTTAATGATATTCTCTCACTGTGCTGTTGTGATTTAAAGAAGCATCAATTTTCCACTATGATCCATACTTTTGTYACATTATGTTCATTCTATTTACTCAAGGTGGTCCTAAAAAGCCACATTTAGAATTTAAGGAAGGGTCCAGGATGTTCATGAGAAAAGAAAAGAAGTAAAG